CAAAAGCAAACTTGACCTGTCCGAGCATTTTTGCGTTAAGTTACAAAAAAAGGAAAAAAGCAAGGTGCATACTTTTCGTTGGATTACTCGATACATATATTTATGGAATGTATATTTCTTAAAAATTCTCAAGAGAAACATCTGGTTTTGAAAAGAAATATGTTGGGGCATTGAACACGTAAAGGTTAAATTGACAAAATTTTCTCCTTTACTCCACATATTGGGATAAACTTTCTCTAATTTATGTTTAAACTCCTCTAACTCAACAAACTAAATCAATTCGTCAACGGAAACGCTTCAAATCCCTCTCCATTGGAATAACTCAAGAATAAACAAACTTTAGAACTTCCCAAACGATTCCGCCGAGAATGGATAAAAAATCCGAGAAAACGGAAGAATATTAAAAATTACAATGAAGCGGTGAATCTAGCGAGAGGTAAGGTGACAAAATAACAGTGTAGTTATGAGCGAAAGTTCACTGAATCGAAATCGGAGTGAACAGTCGAGAAAGGATCTTGTCAGTGTCTTGAAATGTCATTTTCCCATCGGGAATGTTTGCGGTAATCAAAGAAGGCACCATGTGCGTGCAGATGTTGGAAAAGTTAGTGACAGCATGGCGGAGAACAGAACAAGTATTGCGGTGCTGTAACGGGATATTCTCGGTATTTCCTGCACAATCTAACAATCTCTAGAGTAGAGGAAGTGTAAGGCTGATGAGAGACGGCCGAGTAGTTGCAGGCAGGTGCGCAACTAGGATTTGGCCCTGTGGGGAGGCGTGATGGGTGGAATTTCAATATATTTTCAATATTTCGACAGAACTTTTATAGACCAGTGCTAAAGCCTTCAAAAAAAGTAAAAAGTGAAAAAAAATCATAATAGAATGAAACCCATTGATAAAGGAAGAATATTTAATAGGAAAAATGCAAGGAAAAATAAATTACGGTCGATTTGAGGTCGGAAAGTGGCAGGGGATGAGTTTTTGAGGGTAAAAATCGGTATATCTCGATTTCCGGCAAAACTACAACTCTAATGAAAAAAAGTTGAATTGATTGCAAAGTTGTAGGTAATAAAAATATCTACAACTTTTGTATTCACAAATAAAGTCATGATCAAAAAATTGAAAAGTTTCAACTCCAGACGGATCGAAATCGCTTGTAGAGTTATCACTATCTTCACTGTTAGTATCGTTGTCACTATCACCCTGAACATTTATAATAATTTTCCATATCGCGAAATCAAGAGCAAGTTCCTTCGAAGCATAAAAGTTCTCGAAAACGTTTAGCATTTTCGCAAGGTTTTTTTCACTGCTCTTGAGAAAATGAAGTGAAGAATTTGTCACATAAACTATCAACGGATTTGAAATCGAAGTGCACATTTTTATCAATTACATATTTTTTCAGTGATGCCCATACTAATTCTATTGGGTTCAAATCTGTATGATAAGGAGGCAATCTGAGTACAGTATGTCCATGATTTTCCATAATCCTATCAATTTTATACAACTTGAATCGTGGTTTATGGATTTTAATAATGGAATAAAGATCAATTTTCAACATATAATTTGTGAAATGAATGTTCCGTCGTCTTGACCATTCTCTCGTCTCATCTTTCCTCGAAGATATGTTTGGGTACTTTTCATGCTGGACATTGTGGTATGGGGCATTGTCTATTACCAAAATGCTTTTTTATGAAATATTGGGAGTCAACATTTCTTGCAACCACTTTTTGTAATTGTCGTTGTTGTAGCATTAGTCTTTCATTATTAGAAGGAAGAATATTTGTTTGATGATTTGGCAACATTGCTTCTCAGAAGTTTTTACCTGAGAATGGAAATTCTAGAAGTAAGAGAGAAAAGCAAGAAAAATTGTCGAGAGTCGGTCGGTCCGGTTCATATTGTTTAAACTATTAACAGTAATTAGGTATAGTTTTTCGGTGAAAGTGAGTATGGCGTGCTTTCGATCACTTATTAATTAGCCTACAAGGTGGTGTTTTCCTAATTCCTCCTTTCCTTCCCAAAGCCGTTTTCCAGTATCATCAGAAATCGAGAAGACAAATTACGGATAAGGTAACGATAAGAATTTTCTTCATATTTCTCACAGAACATTATCGGGATGAATTGAAAGGGTTATATTTTTAGAAGTGATTAATTTTTGGGNAGGAATTTCCACCCCAAGGGGAAAACATAGGGTTCAAAGATTGCATTAAATTTGTTCAGTTTTGAAGTTGGAAACCTGAAGTTTTGGGTTGATAAAAAAATATTGTAACTATTTGTTTAAAATGGTCTGCCACGAAACTTAATGTGAAAAATCAAATTCTTATTGGGCAAAGCCGCGGGCAACAACTATAGTGCTTCATAATGAACGATAACAACTTTGACCTACCTCAATAAACTTCCCGCATGACTCCTATAGGTAGGAGGGGGCGACAAAGCATTCTGTACTCCAGCTTGTATTTGCGGAGTGTTTCCTCTTTCTAACAGCAACAGCCTCAGTCTATATTCCTGCATTGATGCTTGGTAACTCGGAGGCGGTGGTCTGTATTGGAATTCTGGATAAATCATGGCTGCATACGGATGATGCGGTCGACCATACGAAGGAGGAAGTCTGGGCACGAAACGACGTGTACAAACATCCACTGATTCCGTACTACCTAAACCGAGCATTGACCGGCAGGTGGAAGAATCGTGTGACGTGAGCCGCCATGCAACGCCACTGACTGTTACCAAAACAATTCCCACACCTGAAAATCAACAAAAAAATTATTCACATATTGCTGACGGAAGTTGTCGATTGAAAACTTTTGATGAAAATGACTCCTGCACTAGACTACGAGCAAGTCGAAAAATAAATATACCTTCATTAGTGTTAGATATAGGGTCTTCATCAGAGACTTCCGAACATTGACAATTGATATTGAAGCTACATCTGTCAAATTATTTGTCATTTACTCAGTCTGTTTTGTCAAATAACCATGGACGAATATATAGCATTCAACAACAAGTGCAAATGATAACATTTTTCTACGGGTGCTATACAATGTGCCACTTCTCTCATCGCTTTCATGCGTTCAAAACGAAAGATTTCTCACGCAGTGAGAAATATCCGCCATTAAAATGAGAAATTTCTCACTGTTATCACGATTAACCCAAGTCAGTCATGAATTGTTACATGTCAGATTGATATGACACGTTCTCCATGGTGACAACGCTACGCTGACGATTCGCGTGCAATATCCAAGTAGCCCATTGTCGGCGTTTCCATAACAACAAAACCGAAGCACTGCATAATGATTGTTGTCAACTTACCCAACGAAAATAGTTTTATTGTTGATTGTTATAGTATAAACAGTTCAGATTTATTAAATATTGAATATATATGAAGAAAAAGCGCAAAAAACCGATTTTTGTGACCTTTGACCTTGAAATTTAATAGTTGCTTCCACCCTACCATATGTTGGTTTTGAGACAACTTTTAGGGTGTCAATATACAAGTATTTACAGACTTACAGCTGGGTATCTCGAATTCCGAGGTGAACTTACTATAATGACTGGACTATAATATGACTGTGCTATTGGCATGTCAGGCTGATATTTTGACAATCGCGTATCCTGCTCCATGTAATCATTTCCCCCAAAAATATAAATATCACACTCTTCCTCTAAATTACACAGGATATCTCTTTTCATATCACGCCTTTACAGTTAAACAGGCCACCCCTCTTTCTCTCTCCATGTCACATTATAATTCCCTTGATAAGCCTTTTGACTAAATTCCTATCTGTCACCATGACTACCACACCGTGGCAATCTCTAGTTTAATAATGCGATAATTAAGTCGTGCCCCCGAAGGCCATCTTTTCTGTCCGCGTGTTGCTTTCCTGTTTGCTTGTCGAAGTTGGAATATGATGGGGAAGGGGAGCGCAACACGTTATATTATAGATTCTGTTTAGTTTGTTTGACTCCAACTCATTGTCTTGTTTGATTAAAAAGGTCGGGGTAGCAATGATTTGATGGGGTTGAATCAACAAAGCGTCCGATTCAAATCCGACACGCATATTTGCTTATTAAACATGACAGATCGAGCAGATAATACAACAGACGGACATATCATTCAACCGAAAAAAAGCTACTGTATATTATGATTGGTAATATATAACACAGGTTGACAGGTGACATCTTATAAAGGATGTAACTAAATAAGTGTAAAACATTCAAGGAGGTGATTCCTCATCGAAAAAAAGATAGGATCTTTTATATAAAGAAACTTCATTGGAACAGCCCTTGTTAAGATACAGCCCCTTTAAGGGGGTTCATAAAATTTGTATAACAATTTTTTTCACAAGCACTGAAAAAGTTACAATATTGAAATTAACCTGACGTTTTGTACTACCAAAGAGACACTTAGCCAGTTATTTATTTGGTTTACCCCATGGTTGTAAGGGGTGGAAAACGCAACCTCAAAAAANAAGAGAAGTGCATCCAGTACTGCTGGAGGAAGTTCCTTTGGGCGTCAGAAGGGATATGTTTTTTATGCATGATGGGGCTTCCGCCCATTTTAGTCAAGTAGCACGTCAACATTTAACTGAAACATATGCAAATCAGTGGATAGGTCGAGAAGGACCACAGAACTGACCCGCTCGATCCCCGGATCTCAATTCCCTCGATTTCTCTATTTGGGGCCATTTACAGCATTTGGTTTATCGTACTCCTGTTCGGGATGTAGAGGACTTAAGAAATCGCATCATCGATGCGTGCAGGGGTTGCGTTTTCCACCCCTTATAATCATGGGATAAACCAAATAAATTACTGGCTAAGTGTCTTTTTGGTTGTACAAAACGTCAGGTTAATTTCAATAATGTACCTTTTTCAGTGCTTGTGAAAAAAATTGTTATACAAATTTTATGTACCCCCTTTAAGGGGATGTATCTTAACAAGGGATGCTCCAATGAAATTTCTTTATATGAAAGATCCTATCTTTTTTTCGATGAGGAATTACCTCCTTGAATGTTTTACACTTATTCAGTTACACCCTGTATACAGTGTGTGGACGCCAAATGGAATAAATTCATTATTTCGATTACTGTACATATTTTAACAAAATCCCGAAACACGTCAAATTTAAATTATGATTTGACATACTTCAACGGAAAAATGCTACCCCTACCTCCAACCCCCGTCTAATGACAAGTACTACCCCCAATTTTTTGAATGGGAAGTATAGGCTTGTGATTTATCGTTCGAAAGGTCTCTTCATTCTCTATTCAAAAATGTTATTGCTTTCAAATCTATTGCAACAATTGAAATAAAATCATTTAAAATCCTGTGGTTACCGAAATTCCATAAAATACACTCGAAACTTATTGCAATATACTCGAAACTTATTCTATGTTGAGGTATTGACAAGAAAGTAAGCAAAAACCATAGCAATGTTCTTTTTAGATAGTATCCTTTAAAAAACTGTATATAATTTCCGTGGCAACGTTAGTTCGTCAACTTCAAGTCTGACAAATGGTTAGATTAACGGAAATGCATAAAATAACAGTTTTATAAATGATTGGTTACGGAGATAAAACCCGAACACAACGGGTTTTATCAATTCATGAGAATTTTTCTAATTTACCGCTCATATCTCAAGAAACAATAAACAAAATAGAGAAGCAGTTTCGAGAGCTTGGTCATGTGGGGCAGATGAAAAAAGCAGCTGCCAAAGCAATGAGTGTTGAACTCAAATTAGATGTGATGCTTGAGTTTGAGGAAAACCCACATACATCGAGTAAACAGGCATCCACTAAATTCAATGTTAGCCATACATCGATAGATGGTTTATGTGAAAGAATTGGTTTTAAGACCTAACAAATTATTATTATTATTAGTAAAATAAAATACAACTCTACTCAGGAGCTCATGGNAGTTAAGGAATACTATGTTACCATAACTTGGTTTGGATTTAGGTGATACTTGGAGGCTTCCCACACTTCAGCGTAATCTCCGTTAATTCAATACAGTGTATTATTACAAATTCAGAAAACTGTTGAAATTTGCTTTCTTTCTATCTATATCATGCGTATACCTAACTAGTCAATTCTTGGACTTATGAGCATTTATTTGTGAAAATATCCCTTCAGAATGGTATTTCCAATCGGTATTTTTTAAGCAGACCATGACTACTATGTGACAGTAACGTTGTGACATTCTCCCAATAATATTGACATTTTCTCACTTCAAAAGCTTCCAATACCTCTAAAACGATGAAACAGAACTATTCAAACGAATTTTTTCTTATTTTTGGACAGTGTGATAAAATTATCAGCAAAACATGTAGAAAGTTCAACGAAAGGTATCCGAATCTACCGCTAATAAACCTCAAGAAATTTATGCGAGTTTAGAACAATTTAAATAAATTTGGGTAAATTATAAAAAAAAAACAATAAAACATTCGAAAGTGGAAATATTAATATAGATAGTTATGAAAAAGTAAAACCATCATGTGGAATATTTCAAAATATGTTCGAATCTCTGGCTGTTCACTGCCAAGCACTTCAAAATCCGAGTGACAGATCTGATTTCATGGGGAACCAAATCTTCAAATGTTTGGGTAATCCTTTCTAACACTTCATCTCTCGAACGCACAGGTCTTTTGTAAACTTTTTCTTTGAACATTCCCCACAGATAAAAATCTCATTAATTAAGATCGGGTGATCTCGCAGGCCAATTCTATGATCTCAAGCGCCTTATCCACCATCGTCTTTTGTACAATGTGCAGAAACTCCGTCTAGTTGGCACTAACATTTTCGATATTCTTCGAGTGACAGATTGTCAACGAAGCTCTCTACAGTGTTCTCCAAAATATTCAGGAAGCTTCTGGATGTTAATGATTCCTCGTATATCGCGTAGCTCAATGTATTGTCCATTAACAGGCAGAAGACACTAAAACTGTTTAAATCCGGCTTTTTTCGTGACCAGGATTTCACTGGACCAATAATGACAATTTTTTCCATTGAACAATCCTTCTCTGGAAAATTTCGATTCATCAGCCTAAATAATTTTATTTACAAAAAAATGGATCGTCTTGAATGCGTATCAACAAGTTGATACGCATTTTGAAGAGTTTCCGAGCTCAACATGAATATAGCAACCCTACTAAATGAAAGCTAGCGAATTTCGTAGTTCATCTGTTAACAGTTACCCACCAAAGTTTCAGCCATTCTGGATACGCAGTTGTTATGTAACAGTCGTTTGAGTGAATTGATGTGAATGTTTATATGAAAATTAATAAAATGGGGTATCGAGCTGTCATTAAATGTTCGTTTTTGAAAAAAAATACGCCTACGCAAATCAAAGATGAGTTGGATTATGTTTATGGGGACTTTCAACCATTTTGGGCAGCTGAATTTAAACGTGGCCGTAAGAGCTCGGGAGACGATGACCGTTCGGGGCGTCCAAAACCTACAATTATCGACGAAAACATCGACAAAGCTCACCAAATGGGGCTAGATGACCGCCAAATTGAAGTGAGAGAGACAGCAGATATTATGAACATTATGAACATCTCAAAAGAACGTGTTTGTCTTATAATATATCAACATTTACGCACGAGAAAGCTGTCCGCGCGGTGGGTGCCGCGTTTGCTCATGTTAGACAAAAAATGTATTCGAATGAACATTTCCAACTCTCTGTTGGCGTAGTTTAGGCCCAATAAATCCGAGTTTTGGCGACGATCAATTACTGTAGATGAAACTTGGATACACCATTGTATGCACGAAACAAACATACAGTCTAAACAGTGGACTGCAAAGGGGGAACCATCCCAAAAAAAAGCAATGATGGTTTTTTCGGCTGAGAAAGTGATGGCGACTGTTTTTGGGGATAGTCATGGATTTATTTAAATCGATTATTTTCAAAAATGGAAAAGCCTTCACAGTAACATATTACGTATCGTTACTTGACAAGCTGTAGGCAGAACTCGAGAAAAAACGGCAATATTCGCAGAAAAATAAAACCCCGTTTAAACAAGACAACGCACCGTCTCGCACCTCAGCGAAAACCCACGAATTACNCAAAAAAATGGGTAAAAAAATAAAACTTCACTTAGATGGCCATAACTTAGAATCTAGATGTATTTTCAATGCTAAACAACTTTTCTTAATAACATTTCCTGAGATTTTCCAAAATAAGAGTACTTTTTGTCGAAAAACCTTTAATGAATAAGTTTCCCATATGGTGCATACTTTGGGGATGACACTGTAAATTGAAACAATAGCAATAGATATATTATAACGAACATCACTCACACAACAATCAAACAAACACCCTTTTCTTTTTAAACGAAACAAACAAAGAAACCATGGAGAAGTTGACCTACAGATTACACAACTCTGATCACATACATCTACAGACATTTATACATTATATGTATATATTGGTGTATCTGGGCTCTAGGCAAACCAGAGATCCAAGCTTTAAGCTTAATTTTGAACATATTAATGCCAATGATAGTTTTGATATGTGCTGGAATAAGATTATACAGCCGAGGAGCTAAGTAACTATAACACACAAACATAATGGTGTTCAATTTTTTCAAGTTCATGTTTATTTTTGTGTTGCCTTATAACAGTTTCGAAGAAGTAAAGTTGCCTTATGTCTAAAGTCAATATTTCCTTATATCCATCAAGGAAAGTCGATTCGACAAATTTAAAATAAAGTTTCCGTGTTTCAATCTACCTCAATTTTCAAAAATTCAAAGGGTGGATCTAAAAATAAGAACCCCTATAATAACATAATATGTTACTTCAAGTCACCCTCAAGTGAATTGTCCGAATACTCTTGATAATGAATACACTACTCACCAATCATTAGCAGGGATATCGTCAAATGATCTCGTCCGGAAGGCCTCATTGCCCCAAGAGCAGTACCAACCAGAACACAGCATACTGCAACTAAAGCTATTAGTGCTATAAACCATCGTAGCGAGCCAGGCTTCCATGAAAGGAGTCCGCAGCATCCCTTGGGTGGTTCTTCGGTAAACCTTCCTCTGCAAATAAATAAGAATTCATTATTGTTTATTTAATTTTTATCAAAATACTGAAGACAATTTGACAAAGATTCAAAATATTTTTCATCGAATATTGTTACAAATTTTATTAGGTTGTTTCAAAAATTTAGACCTTTTTAATGTGGTGCATTTTTGTAGCTTCGTATCTCAATGTATATATATATACAGTGTCACCGATAAAGTCCGCATCAAATGGGAAACTTTTTACTTTATCGTTTTATGTGAAATTTGATTTTGGCAGTAGATTTTGCTTAAGAAATGATGTCGAATGGCGTCTACAAAATAGGTCACGTGATTTCCTTAACCTGTCAAAATTGACATTTAAAAAAAGAAACATCGNAGAAATTTTGAGTAGTGCAACAGTTCAACACACATACATTTATTCCTGGATGATATAAATTAGGAGCGTAAATCAAGGATTCCTATCAATAGTAAATGCATTGATTGGAACTGAATTCGCAACACAACTTGATTAATTACTTCGATCGTTACCATGGAGATGCTCCATATTGCTCATGTTGATTTGTTTCACTAATGAAACTAGCGATAAAAAATCCAATACACAGTTTCATTCAAATTGTACCGGTGCCGGTGGTTTATTCGAATTCATTTCTGCTTGAACATAAAAAAATGCAATCACAAATCTAGTGAATATTATAGACTGTTAATATTGGGTTGTTTCGAAAGTTTTGTCCATTTCAATGTCATGTGTTTCTGTTACTCCATATCTCAATGAATATTTATTATACTACTGTGTCCTGGTATATACTGATCGATAGAGAATTTTGTACTCTATACTCCAGTTTTTCTCTACGAATTCAAATTGAAACAAAACGCTGCCGAAACAGCTTGAAAAATTAACCAGGCATTTGGTAATGATGAGCCTCGAAGTGATCGACCTACAGATCCCAGATGAGGATTTAAAGACCCTGGTGGATACTGACCCATTACAAACACAGTGCGTGGGATAGCGGAAGAACTGGGCGAAGTCTCCCATGCGGTTTTTGATGGTTAAAAATGTATTGGAAAAGTCAAAAAGGTCGAAAAGTGGGTACCCAAAGATTTGAACGGTCAACTGAAATTGTCACGTTTCGAAGTCATTTTTCGAAACGTGACAATTGCGCAACCAAAACGATCCTTTTTTGGATCGGATCGTCACGTGTGATGAAAATTGGATCCTCTACGACACGACACGTTCAGGACAGTATTGGGACACCGATGAACCAACCGGGCACTTTCCAAAGGCGAAAATCCTCCAAAAAATTATCATGACTGCTGTATGGTGGTCAGCGGCTGGTGCTGTTCTCAAATGAAATTCAAGTTTTTCAATAAATTTGTCATAACATACCTGTATTTCATTAATCTTCATCACTTCTTCCCATTTTTCCCCTTTTAATGATTTGTGTAATTTATCAAAATTTATATTTTTTGCAAATGTATTTGATTCATTTTCATTTTCAGAAGATGACTTCATTGTTCCTGATATTTCCAAGTATACTGGGTAGTGGTCGGTGAATAATGATTTTGAATAATGTTATGATTCGCATTATTTTTACGAACGAAAATATGATCCATTGTGATCATTCAATATAATGTAAAAATTGGCTAGCAGACTGGGCAGATTTCTTCCTAAAGATAGGGTTATTACACCAATTGGTATCGACTTTTCAATGTTGATTTCAATGTGGAGTTTCATCAACTCGTGTCATGAAGAATTTATTCAGTATTGCATATCAGAGATACCAAATGACGCAGCTTCACAATTTGGTATATTTAAATTTTCAGTCTGACAGGTGTGAAGGAATAGAAGTCAGCTATGACGTACACTTACATATTGGCATAATTATATATTCGTCGCTGGATTTGTGCCAGTGTGACATTAACGTCATTAAGGTCACGAACAATGTCTGTATCTTTCATAAAAAGATGATGTATCAAAAATGATCAGAACAGAAAGTCGGCATTTATTCCTCCTGCATTCGGTTCCGGTGTACAATAAAAGTTATTTTATCATAGATCATGCATTCTCTTCATTTGTCGGTTCTAATTCCTAATGGAACAATATAAAATAATAAACGTTTATATTAATCTGAAGAAGGTCGAGATGTGAATGATGATGCTCGCCCTGGATGCCCCATCATATCAAAAACTGATTAAAACAGACGGCGTATACTTGTTCTCATATCGATTAGTATACCCATTTGCTTCAGAAAACTTCATTACAAATTTGGTAATCATTAGAAATTACAAAATGTCATTGGTGAATACATGTTGATATATTACTCTATTGTTTGTAATATACAGAGTGGCTTATTTGTGTGAGGAAGTACAGTATCTCGCCTATAATGAGGAGTATGATAAAATTTTTCAGATAAAAGCTATATGGTTTACTTTTTTGACTATTTCAAAAATATTATGGAATATACGGAGTGTTCCTTTGAAGCGGAGCAATACAAATCATATTTTTTTCAAATGGAATCCCTATCAATTTTTTTACCGTTGAACTGAGCAAAATGTTTTACATAAGGAGGAATATCCTTTTTTCCAAAATTTTGCGGTTCGTCAAGTTATTGTTGAAAGAAAATCATCGGAAAAACAGACGAGCGTAAATGCTATCATAAAAACTTCATGAATAGACTTCAAGCAGAAGTATTTACACTTTTTTCAAAGACAAAACACAAGCACTACAGAAAAATCCTTGAGGCTCTCTTATAGCGGCGCCTATGTGAAAGTAACGATTCACATTTGGAATAACGTTGATCAAAAAGTGATGCTTTCAACCACTCGGCTACCTGGTCCTAAATACTTCAACGAAAACATGTTTTCCAGAATTTTTCCACCCGATTTTCAGTTATAAGTTTGACATTGCAATTATATTAAATTTCAGTAACAGCAACTAAGTGTCAAAATCTTAGCCGGCTTATACGTCAATAGACTGACAAATTGAATTGTAAATTTCTCAAAAAGTGTCAGTTTTAGAGACTATTTCATCCCACCCAAATTTGTAGGGATGAAATAGTTCTAAAAATGGTGACATAACATCTGGGTATTTCTATTAAGAAAATCAAGTAATATTCATTACTACACCAAAGGTGTAGCATAGTAGAGATACGCGGTATGTCAGTTGTGGTGAATAAGATCACTTATATTATTTTAACGTGTTACAGATCGCCTGATGGCGATCTTGATATGTTTTTCGAGAATACGTTACGTACTTTAGAATATGTATACAAATATTGACATTGTATTGACAGGTGATTTGAATCTTGACTCATCAAATACATCCCGTAACAGAATTGATTTCGTAACGCTCGGTGATTTAATGAAAGGCTTCAATCTAGATTCGAAAATTGGATGGCCAACTAGGGTTACCCCACATTCATGTACTACAATAGACCATCTATTGTTTGAAGGTGATTGACAATGTTTCGTGATGAATTTCACTAGTTCGGAATTCCATTGTCTACTATATAAAATGATTTGAAATCCCTGAAACAAATTGACGAATTCAATGTATTATTATCATAACTGTTATCACAAAAAGTCTCTATATTCTGGTTAGTGTGTAACGTGAATTGGGTTTATTCGAGTTGAATGACACAAGAAACCAACAAAATTAATTTGAGAACCAAAATAAGAAATAAATACATATATCATCATGTGCATCACAAAAATTCAATTTCAACACTTGATGAACAAATAATTGGGGATCGCCTCAAATTTCTTATGATGAAGTGTGGCGTCTGTAAAATTACGAGAAAGTAGCTTCATCGTGTTCGTTGAAAGTCATTTCATTTGATTTATAAGCTATTCGTGTCGCAGTAGCAATTTTAATTATAATATACATCCTGAGTTTTCCCAAGGCGACGACAGTAAAGGAGTGAACCTAATTTTAATCACTACATATTATATTTCGATTTCCACTTTCACACTAATGGTTGTGAAGTGAGCAAAATTAACGTCAACAAGCAATACACAAGAATTTTCATGATAAACTAATAGTACATCCTCCAGAAACTGAGGTAGCGTTTGTTCCAAAAAGTTGCGGTATACCTCGCCGGTAAATCTTCCTGGCAGAAATACCGGTCCAATTAGGAAGTCATTCACTATTTCCACCCAAACGTTAACCGAGAACTGATGTTGAACGTGATCTTCAAGCACCTCATGTGGATTTTCTTCAGCCCAAACATGGCTATTGTGGAAATTCCTCATGGCATTTCTTGAGAAACTGGCTTTATCGGTAAAAAGAACAAGCGTCAGTAGTTAAGGGATTTGAACCAATGTGCGCAAAAGCCTCAGGGTCAGTACCAGAGTGCTACCAAGATTTAGCCAAAGCCTTGGTAGATAATAACATTATCCTGAGGTGGATTGAAGGGCACGACAGGAGTAGAGGTAATCGCATTGCTGACTCTTCAGCCAACGAAGCGGCTGGATTAAGAATTTTAGGATCCAGTGGCGCCAACGGCCTGATGACTTCGACAATTACGGAACGCGACCCTGGGAAGCTGGCGCCGAAGATAAATCTGGCGATGACCAGGAAAAATCTACGCTTAACAGTAGGATTTCTGACTGGGCACTGTCAACTAAGGAAACCCCTCCATAATATGGGGCTAGTGGACATACCACTATGCAGGATGTGTGGACTGGAAGATGAGACTGTCAGGCATATTCTATGCGAGTGCTTGGAGTTATCGTCAATAAGAGAGTGTGTTTTCGGCGAGTCTTGGCCTACACCTACCGATATAAAGGAGATGGCTCCCAGTAACCTTCCTGGAAAAGACAAGATGGAGGATGACTTAGGAGGACAACTCTTCGGGAGGATGTACAATGGGTAACATGTGGTCTAAGTGCTGTGGGCTTATACTCATCTACCCTACTCTATAGATACAGATACGAAAGCGATTGACAGAATGCAATACAAGAAAGAAAATTTGCAGGAAGAAGTTCCTGAACTCGTTGTATGTGGTATGGGTACAACGAATAACCTCTAAGAATGTTCCAAATCATCCCGTATTTGCAATTTTTTGAGTAGAGCTCCCTAATTACCCTGATTACCATCTCTTAATGGTCAATATTCTGAAGGGGTATTTTCTCTTGAATGTATCTCTATGAAAATAATCCATTGAAGTGAGGTCAGGAGACCTAGCAGGCTACGGAAACTCTTAATACCTTCCTATAACATTTCCACTGAAAATAGTGTCCAAGTACTGTCGACCATCGGTGGTACTGTGGTATATTGCTCTATCTGTTGGAACCATATTTAGGTAAATTACGTATCGATGGATTGTCAAGAAAATTAGACAAATGATCATATGAAAATTATGAATAATGTTGGGCATTCATGGTACATAATTCCATGGGTACATAAATAACGATTTTTGTCCGAACTAATCAATCATCTTCAGTTATTTTGATCTTGTTTCAATTGTCCATCAGAAGTTTACTATATCATAAATACATTTCTTTGCTTCGTTGATGTCCTGAGTCAAATTAGAGTTCTGGGAGTACGGAGTTTTTCATTGTGAATTTTCCCCTCTTTCAGTATCTTTCAATTTCATTCCTTATGTATTATTAGTGTTGTAATTCATCTCCTAAAAAAAACACCGGTAGCCGCTGGTCGTCATGAATCAATTGTGACGTGCTCAACTCGTGTGCGCGCGCGGCCATTCTAGACGTGGCGGTGCTTCGAGAGTAACACTACCAGCTTCGGTGGAATTCCGACGAATTTACTATCGCCTTCAATTGCCATATATAAACGCTACCCACGAGCATATCGATAAGGTGAAGTTTCGCGAGAGTGAAGTACAGAGCGATCTAAGTTAGGTTAGGTGCAAAATGAGTGTGCCTATTCGACCCTCCACCGCAACCCGAAAGGGTTTATTGTTGCTCACAGCTATTTACACTCGACCAAATAAACGCAGCTTCTTAACAAAGTCGATTAGTTTGTATGGTAAGTGGTCTTTTGAGTCAGACGGTAAGGGTACGGCTCTGCCAAACTCTCAAAACAGAGGTGGCACACACTGATAGCACTAATGTCCTACGTATTTTTAATAAGGTTGGTATGTTAATCTGATCGTTTACATGATGTGAGTGGTTGTACGTAAGGGTTAAAAGTGAAAAGAAAAAAATTTAATCGAGCGCGTCAGATTTTCTAAGGGGGTGTTAAGTGCAACAAAAAGAAGCTCTAATATATGGGGCTCATATTTGGTGGAGGTACTTAACCGGGTACAAGGTATTCCCCTGTATATTAATCTGCCGCGCTTTAGTAAATCCCGAAATCCCAGCTTGGGCTTCCCTATTACAAGGCAGGTTGATATCTCTGTCCTCGGTCTGCGACTGAAAACACCTGCACCGACAGAGCGATCTAACACTACAACTGAAACTTCAACTATTATTATTCTAACAAGGCGATATACATTTGAATAATAATAGTTGAAGTTTCAATTGAAGTGTTTGGTTGAAATAACAGTGATATAAAGTTAAGTTTAATTATAAAATCACTAAAATTATTTTGCTATGCGCCATTCAGGATCCAATGAGCTGTCGATCATTATTTTAGGAGCTTTATGACTATTGAACAGTTACTGTAATTGCTATATTTAGTAAAACTAGTTTTCACTTTTTCTATTGTCCCAGATGTAATCTCTTTGCGATGAAGCTGAAAAAGAAATTAGTTATGTGTGACGAGAATCATCAGACCTTGAAAAAAATTCGACACGAATGATGCGAATCCAGATGTGGTCAGTAAGAAATAATTGTCGCATTCACGAACTTTTTAACTGCTTTCTCTCAAACGTGAATTCTCTCGTTTCCAGAAATTGATTTCTGGGCAATTAAACTTGAAATAGTTCAGGAATTTACATAGACACATTTTGAAGGATGAGAAGCAGCAAGCGAGAAACATAATGTTTTTTAAAAGTTATATTTTTAATAAATTTGTCTGCACAGAAAAATTGTGTTTCAATGAAAAAAGACGTTNTTTATATTGCTTATAATATTTTAATTTATATATTTACCTGACTATTACATAAGAACACTTTGTAAAATTAAATTGAGACTAGTACCTAGATGAGGTAATAATGTGAAATTAATTTAAGACACTTCAGACGGAGGCACCTAGAAGAGGTATCTATGGTATAAATATAAGGATAACTTTGTAAGTATGATTAGTTTGATCTTCCCTTGAAGATGATCACTTGGTAATCGAAACACGTGTCGAGGTGTTGAAATAACGGTTTGGTGTTGGTAATAAACTCCAGTAATATTCGGATATTCAGTACTCCCCGCTTTTTCACAACATAATTAATTCTTTTGTAAATAGATTCATTCTGATTTCAGACTTATTGAAAATCATTAGTTACATCAAGCCATAGAACTTATTCACTGTGGTGTACTGTTTGGAACCTTTGGTGTAGTAATGAATATTACTGGAGTTTTATCCCAACACCAAAACGTTATTTTTAAAACCTCGACACTTGTTTCGATCACCAAGTGATCATCTTCAAGAGGAAGATTGAACTGTTCAATTTACCAATCTACGCATGCGCAGCAGTGTGGTTGTCTCACGTGTTCGTACACAGGGACTGTGTGAGGAAATTATTCAATCCTGGCGATCCTCATCAAGATAATGAGATAAACTTATGAAATTTGTATTGTCACTGATTCTTGATAAGTATACTAAGTTTAAAATAAATATGTCTATTTGAAGTTACCTAGTCAAAATCGAGTCCAAAGGGGTCGATTACAAACAAACATACAAGTGAAGTTAATAAAAGCGTGTCAATGAAAATATAATTCAAAAGCTACTAGGGGGCGTTTTCCTGAAGTTTAAAATAGATTTTTTGATTTTTTATTTTTCTCAACTTGTTACTTACATATTGAAACGAACCATTTATCAATACTATTCAGTAAAAAGTTAATATTTAGGAATATAATTGTTGACTTTTATATTTTTACTGACTGAAAACATATGAACATGAAGGTTTGAAAAAACAGAGCCAATCTTTCAAAACTATCCATAGTTTCTTGAATTTTTGGCATAGATATATTCGAAACCACTCATATATTAAGGTTAAATCAGGTCCTCTCGATTAGTAAAATATACGAATGGGTAGGTATTCAGTTTAATGAAATACGGTATTTGATCAATTTACATTTTTTTGGTGTACATACATTTATTCCCGTAAAATATATTATTATATAACGATAATTACCAACGCTTTCATTAGCTATTCTGGCATGTAGTTCGTATTTATTTTATGAATTTCGGTATTACATACCACATACCTAATAATAACATGGTAACGGAGTGCATTATGTATGCCTGGTATCGGTTTTGCCATTATAAAAATCACATCGGAATTTATTTTGATTTGAATAAAATATTCAAAGTTTATAGGACGAATGAAAATTCAAACGGAACCAACTTCAATATAAAACAATATATTTGAAAATGGAATTCGTTGCGTTTCCAGTATATAATTTTCAATTTTCGCAAAAGAAGTTTTCTGCTGTTTTGTTTTGCATTTCTGCTGATTGTACTTAATTAGAGCAGCCTGTGGAGATGTAGTTTCTCTTGCAGGTTTCAAAAGTTTTGAAACTTTGTCAAACGTTTCCTTCCTCCGCGTGAACGTTTTTCAAAAAAAT